GTGCATCTTTGGGGGGCGGCCTCCTGGGGGGGGGAGCGCGCGGCCGCGGCATGGGGGGCAGGTCGAGAGGTTGGCTGGGGTGTGGGCGCTAGGAGCGCCTCGCGGGAGGGGTGCCACTTGGGGGCGAGGCCTGCCCAGAAGGCCGCCGGACTTCTGAGGAGCCCTCGCGCCCTGTGAGAGGTTTGCTGCGTCTTCGGGGAAGGCTCAGGAAAAATCTCAGAATGCCGGGGGACTTCTGAGCCTTCTGAGGAGGCCCGCCCTTCTGGTCCGCCGCCGACCCCCCCCAATCAAGCAACAACGACAGTTCCCGATGACCTTGGCGACGAGCTCTGTGCAACAGCGAGCATGTCACGGGCTACCTCCTTGGAGGTGGTGTGCATGCCACAGAGGTCAGAGACACAGTGCGATGCCACGGGGGGGCAGTACACTTACGGTCGAAACGGGTACGCTTCGGACAACGTCAGGGGGGTGGGGGACAGGCTCGGGGAGGTCTTCGGGAGGGGACCCTGGCGTTCGAGGCTCGAGGTTCTCAGGTGGTTTCGTCTGTTCTTGCTGGCTTTCCAGCCTCGGGGCGCGCTGCAGCGGCTGCGCTCCTCCCCGACAGGGCGACCAGAGGTGCCCACGCCGTCCCGAAAGCGGCCGCCGGAGACCGGAGGCCGGAGTTGCGGCCCGAAGACCAGGCGAAGGAGATCATTCATGGGCAACCTCCTCCTCCTCCCTCTCCTCCTCCCCCTCCCCCTCCCCCTCCTCCCTCCTCCTCCTCCCTCCTCCTCCTCCTCTTCCTCCTCCTCCTTCTCCTCCTCGGGAGGGGGGGTATGCACGGAGGGCAGGGCTGGACCTAAGCGGTGTTTTGGCGATTTCGTGGGCCGTTTTCGTTTCGATCTCGTTCTGCGGCAGAGCCGGACTGGAGACAAGACGAGAGAAGCCGAAGACAAAACGAAAACGAATAACCCCGTTTTGGCTCAGCCCTGACGGAGGGATGCGTCGACCCTCAATCGCCCATTCATCGCCGATGGGCGCTCGATAGCCTTCCGGCGAGCGCCGAGCACCCGAGGCTCAGGCCCCCGGAGACCAGGACACGGATAAGCCAGGACACGGAAGACCAAGGAAACGACATCTTTTCCCGCAAAGTCACGTTTTTGAGCACCCGTGCATGTTTTGTTTGTTGCACTGCAGGATTCGGGTTTGTGTCCGGGTTTAGGGGGTATTGCAGGCTTTTAGGGCCTGTGTCTGGGTTTGTTCTGGAAATGTTGCAGTGGAGTATTTTGTTTGTGCCGCCGTTTGGAAAAGTCGGTTTCGAGGGATGTTGGGTGTCCGGGTCTAGCGTGTCCGGGTCTAACTTTCGGGGCCTTGAGAGGCACACGGCGTCAGAGACCGATGTCCAAGTCGTCACCGCACATGTTTGCCGTACAGTGGAGGCCCATGCCAAGGAACACCTTGCTTGCCTCCAGGGTGCACTGGGTGTCGATAGTCTTGCGATGGAAAGCGTAGCGATCCACACCAAAAATCAATGGACGTCCTGGGGTCTCAGGGTTGGGTTTCTTGTGGAAGGATTCTTGTGGTCGGGCCCCTACTGCAAGGGAAAGGGGGCCTGGTGGAAGGAGGTCCTGGCCGCCGAGGCCGAAATCAGCTTAGAACGGCGTGGGGGGGTGCTCAGGGGATGGGAGTGTCACGTAGCACCCCGCAATTGCGGATAAGAGTGAGGGGGCGGGCACGGGCGACGCGGGCGTCAAGCCGGCGGACCTCGTGGCCCTCACCTTCCGTGTCGATGGCGCATTCCTCCTCCTCCTCCTTCTCCTCCTCCTCCTCCTCCTATTCCTCCTCCTCCTCCTCCTCCTCCAGGCCGAAATCAGCTTAGAACGGCGTGGGGGGGTGCTCAGGGGATGGGAGTGTCACGCAGCACCCCGCAATTGCGGATAAGAGTGAGGGGGCGGGCGCGGGCGACGCGGGCGTCAAGCCGGCGGACCTCGTGGCCCTCACCTTCCTTGTCGATGGCGCTTTCCTCCTCTTTTTCCTCCTCCTCCTCCTCCTGCTCCTCCTCCTCCTCCTCCTCCTCCTCCTCCTCCTCCTCCTCCTCGTCCGCGTCTTCGTCCTCATCATCGTCGTCGTCATCGTCCGCCTCCTCCTCATCCACCTCCTCCTCTTCCTCCTTTTCCTCCTCCTCCTCCTCCTCCTCCTCCTCCTCCTCCGCAGGCGCCGATGTGCTGTTGTAGAATCAACGTGGGCCGGATTGGAGGAATGGCACGAGGGCGCTTTCCCAAACCAAAGCGAGCAAGCCCGCCGCAGGCGCCGATTTGCGTGATCTGACAAACTCAGCGTGGGGGGGATCGCTGGTAGGCCAGCCGGAACGAATGCAAAAACAGCCCGCCGCAGGCTCCGAATTTTTGGCTTGTTCAGTGAACGTAGTTTGGGTCGCGGGTGGCTCGCGGGCTCTCCACCTCCACCTGGAAGGAATTCAAAAACAGCCCGCCGCAGTCGCCGAAAAATTGTGATTTGTAAACTGAACGCGGTTTGGGTCGCGGGTGGGTCGCAGGTTCCTTGCACGAATGCAAAAGAAGCTCGCCGCAGGCGCCGAAAATTTTGGGTGGGTCGCGGTGTGGGTCGCGGGTGGGTCGCGGGTGGGTGGCGGTGGGTCGCGGGTGGGTCGCGGGTGTGTCGCGGGTGGGTCTCGGGGTGGGCACCAACAAGAGTCCGCAACGCGGAATTCCCCTTCAGCCACGCGCCCAGGGACAGTGAATGGCCGTTCGGTTCAGCCCCCCTCACTCTGATAAGCTGATGCTTCAGGTGGATAAGCTGATGCTTCAGGGAGGAGGGGGAGCAGGAGGAGGAGGAGGAGCAGGAGGAGGAGGAGGAGGAGCAGGAGGAGGAGGAGGAGGACGAGGAGGAGGAGGAGGAGTGAGAAGTAGGTCACACATGCCAGGAGCGGCTCACAAAGGGGTTTGGGAACTCCGCTGGCGGACTCCGCCCATGCGGCCCAGATCGCTGACCACCCAGAGCCTCTTATGGCACGTGTGACCCGCTTATGAGCTGACCATGTTGGGCCACATCTACGTAGCAATGTGGCCCACCTCAGCATCTCCTCTTGTCCAGAGAGATGATCCGACAATCTTTCGTTTGCTCAACGGCTCTGGGCGTGTACTGAACAGCCCTGCCATGTTCGATTCCTTCTTTGGGTGCGTTTACTACACGGCCTTGCTTGTCGGGGTGGTTACTATGGGAGGAATGCTTGCATTCTGTTATGCCCCCCTATCCCCGTCACAGTCCCCGCGCCGATCCGAGTGGTAAATCGGGCCTGTCCCTCTACAGGGGATCAAGAATAGTCAAACAATAGTCTGGGGATGATTTTTCGATTAGTTCTGATCATTATTGGAGTCTTTTTTGCATACTCTTGATTTTTCATCAAAAATCGGCCTGTAGGGAGACATGCCCGACCTAATCCGACTTGTTGAAGCAGGTCCTAGCGGCAGAGGCCGTGCTCGGGGGCGAGCCTCTCGAGGCGGGGAGCCGGGTGGCGGGGGGAGCGGGGCGGGAGGGGAGGGAGAGGAGGATGCGCCAGGCGATCGCTAGCATCAAGGGGCCGAGGATTAGCGACGGGTCCCGTTTCCATTGGAAATCGCGGATTTCCGCCGCCGAACGAGGCGGCACCAGCCGCATTTTGGGGAGGGCACTTCCCCCGACCCATGGATTTGGTGACCGCGCGCCAAATCCATGCTTGCGCGCCCCCGAGTGAGGTGGAGAAAGCAAAAGGGACAGGAGGAGGCAAGAGACAACGGAAAGAGCAAGGGGGGGAGAGAGGAGGAGGAGGAGGAGGAGGAGGAGGAGGAGGAGGAGGAGGAGGAGGAGGCAGGAGAGAAGTCGGTTCGCAAGAGGTTCGAGGTTCCAGCCACCGGCTCGTTCCGCCTCGTGCGCGGTCCTCCTGCGCGAAGGCCTACGAGTCGAACGTCCGCGTCACGCTGCTGGCGGGAGCCGCGGTCGCCGGGCGCCGCCCCCTCGGCGCAGCGACGACCACCAACTGACGACGACGACGACGACGACGACGACGACGACGACGACGACGACGACGGGCGACGACGACAAGGACTGGCGACGACGACGAGGACGACGACGACGACGACGACGACCGGCGAAGGCGATGGGCTGCCGCGCCGTGCGGAGCGGAGCGGGGCCAGGGCAGCCATGTTCCCCAGGGAGCCTCGAGCAGCACAGGAATTCCGAGGGTTGAAGGCGGACAGCCGTGGCCCAGTGAGGGGCCCCTCCTCTTTTCTCCTCCTCTGTGCAAGACCGGCTGCGCCCTGACCTGGCTCGAAGGTGCCGCAAGAGAACGAGAAACGAGCAGAGAGTGTACGGCGTGAGAGCACGGGCGCTCTTCGGAAACATCGCGCGCGGGCCTCACCAGGCCAGCGCTGGGCCTCAGGCAGGCCTGCAGACGGCAGGTACAGTCAACCATGAGAGTAGTTAAGGATTGGACAACTTGCCAAGGCTACCCTTGCATCCTTGCCCCTTCGGTATTCGGCATCCTTCGGCACTCTGCTGTGCTCCGCACAGAAAACGTCAGCATGGCGTTCCAAGGCCATTGCATCTTTACCGCGCATCCTTACTATGCTCGTCGAGTGTAACGGGGTCCAGCGCAGACGGGGCTCAGCCAGAGCGCCAGATCTTGCAAGACGCTTCTAAACCAGAGTTTGATCGAGCCGGGTTCGGGAGCCGGCCGCGGCCGTGGAGGTGGTTTTACCCAAGCAGTGGCGAAGTGTCTTAGCTCGCCTGTAGGCCTACCAAATAATGTTCTAAGAACTGTTTTGTTGGTTTCCACAAAATGTTCTTAGAACACATCCGGCTGGCACTGTCTTGAGTTAACACATCGGTTTCATGTTCTAAGAACATTGTTTTTCTCTTAGAACATGTTTGTGTCTAAGAACATTTCGTGGCAGGCCTATAGGAATGCCGGGACGGTCGGTCCCTGCTCAAGTTGCGTGTTGGTTGAGTTGAGTCAGGGTGTCCCCCAAACAATGAAGCGCAATTGTTTCTAGATTGGGTGAGTGGGCTTTGCGCTGAGCGGAGTTTGTCCACGCCCGACGCTTGCAGTCAATCGGATTAGAGCAAACGGGCCCTGAGGTCCTGAGGGCAGCGGGTTCCCTAGGAATTTGGCAGTTCTCGGCCTCGCGGAGGCCCCAGGGTCCAGGGCCCGTCGAAGGTGATTGATTCTTTCTGATTCTGGCGAGTTTATTTGTATGGCATTGCAAACAGCGCTGGTCTTCGATCGGGCGTCCCTCTACATGAGGAGCATTCAACAATCGCCAATAAAGGGGACCATTTCTAGTATGTTTGAACATTTGTTGATTATTCCCCACCATCCTGTGGTGTTAGGTCGTCGTTTTGAAGAGACGGTCCCAGCGTCTCCTCATCCTCCCGCTGTCCCCCCTCCCTCTCCCCATCATCAGCAGCATCACCATTATCATCACCCCTCACACGTTTCGTGGCCCCATACGGAGCTCCACCTAAGGCCCCAGTGGGGGTGGCCACATGCGTCCGCCACACCCAGTGCAGCGTTTCGGGGCCCCATAGGGAGCTCCACCTAAGGCCCCACTGGGGGTGGCCACATGCGCCCGCCACACCAAGTACAGCGCTTCGTGGCCCTATAGGGAGCTCCACCTAAGGGGCCAGGTGGGGTGGCCACATGCGGCCGCCACACCCAGTACACCGTGTCGTGGCCACATAGGGAGCTCCACCTAAGGCCTCAGTAGGGGTGGCCACATGCGGCCGCCACACCCAGTACACCGTTTCGTGGCCCCATAAGGAGCTCCACCGAAGGCCTCAGTGGGAGTGGCCACATGCGTCCGTCACACCCAGTACAGCGCTTCGTGACTCCATAGGGAGTTCCATCTGCGGCCCCAGATGGGGGTGGGCACATGCGTCCGCCACACCCAGTACAGCGCTTCGTGGCCCCATAGGGAGCTCCACCTAAGGGGCCAGGTGGGGTGGCCACACGCCTCCGCCACACCCAGTACAGTGTCTCGTGGCCCCACAGGGAGCTCCACGCAAGGCCCCAGTGGGGGTGGCCACATGCGTCCGCCACACCCAGTGCAGCTTTTCGTGGCCCCATAGGGAGCTCCACGCAAGGCCCCAGTGGGGGTGGCCACATGCGTCCGCCACACCCAGTACGGCCACATGCGTCCGCCACACCCAGTACAGCGCTTCGTGTTCCCACAGGGAGCTCCATCTGCGGCCCCAGTGGGGTAGCCACATGCGTCAGCCACACCCAGGACAGCGTTTCGTCGCCCATAGGGAGCCCCACCGAAGGCCCAGTGGCACCGCCCGCATGCGTCTCCCCCTCCCATTACGGCACGTCCCTCACGCGCTTTGTGGCCCCATAGGGAGCTCCACCGAAAGCGGCACCCACAACGCGTTACTCACAACTGCATATGGTTGGGCCATTCGCCAGGATCTTTCCTCCGAAATCCGCCTGTAGGGGGACATGCCCGACCCAACGCTAGTCCGATGATGACGTGCAAACGAGTCCAGTCTTTCGTAAAGTCCAGATTGATTTCCGGGCCTCGCCACGCCACCCACCCCATCCTTGCAAGTAATGTGGCTGGGGCACATAGTAAAAATTGCCCCAGAAGCAAGAAAGAGCCAGATGTGGGCAGGCGGGGGCCTTTACCATCATGTGATGAAGCAGCCCTGGCGCCACACCCGCACACACAAGAACAGGGACCCCTGCCTCTGGGCAGACCCTACTCCTACCAGCCATTACAGCCTGTCGAGAACTCTGCGCCCCTAGTGTCGATGCCAGGCCCTCTTACGGCCATGAAGGGTGGTGCACGCGACATGCGGGTCCCGAGAAGACGGGTCCAAGTTTGTTGGGGCAGTGTTCGGCCTCCCACGCCCACCCACGGGCCCCGGCATCCACCCACAGGAGGAGGAGGAGGAGGAGGAGGAGGAGGAGGAGGAGGAGGAGGAGGAGGAGGAGGATCCGCCAAGCAGCTCCCTCCGTGACCCCGAGTAGCGCGATGGCTGTGCCTCTCCAGGGGTGGGAGGGCTCGTGAGACTCTGCGCCACCTTCTGAGCAGGCCTGCCCGTTCCGGCCTTCCCCCCAGGCGCTCCAGGCGTCCCATCTGGGGCTCGAGTAAATGGGCTCGGCGGATCGAGCCGCATCGCCGATGCATTAGCGATGCGGCTCGATGTGGAGCCCGATTTTCTCCACGCCGACGTTGGCGATGCGCCGCCGACGTCGCCGATGCATCACCGAAGCATCGCTGGCGCATCGGCGACGCGGCACGATCCTCCGACCCCATCTTCTCGGACCCCATCCGGGAGGCCTTTGATTTGGCAGCGCGATGAGTGTCGGAGGTGGATAGGCCTCCCGCCCTGACACGTCGATTAAGGAATTGGCCGTTTTCGGTCCGCGAGAGGGCGTCGCGGCCGTCATGTCTGCGGGCCCCGGTCCCTCGGTTTCGGCCCCAGGCCGTTTCTCACCAAGGGGAGGCTCCCCACCGGGGAGCTCTGTCCACCGCCCCCCCGGAGAGAGAGGGCGCTCTGGAGCGGCCCCGGCCCGCCGTGCCCGGCGCGCCCTCCGGACCCACCGGCTCCCCCCCGTTGGGCGTCCGTTCCGTCCTCGTCCGGGGTGGTCCTCCTCGCGCCTTCGTCTTTGGACTCGCCTTGTCGTCGTCGCTGCCGGCGCTCCTCCTCCTCCTCCTCCTCCTGCTCCTCCTCCCTTTCCTCCTGCTCCTCTTCCTGTTTTTCCCTCTCGTGCTTCTATTCCCTTCTCCTTCCTCGCTCCTCCCCTGTCCTCCTCCTCGTCCTCCTTCCGCTCCCTCCCTCCGCTTCTCCCCATGTTGCCCCTGTGGGTTTTTGAAGTGGGAGCAAGGAGGAGGGACACCACCGCCACTGGGGTCAGGTCGGGCCTGTCCTTCCACAGGAGCAATATTGAAAATTGCAAAAAAAGTAGTCTGGTGATCGAATTGTTGAGTATGTTTGAATATTTGCTGGGTGGTTTTGTTCGTCCAAAGGCCGCCTGTGAGACACACGCCCGACCTAACACTGGGGACGGGCACCTCCAGCGAGGAGGTCCACGATGGCCCCCCCCGCCCCCACGGAGCTGGAGGCCGGAGATGCCCTGCGCGGGGCAGGCGGACCCCACGCCTCCAGGAGAGCCCCCCCCCCCGAGACCTTCGCCCTGCGGCAGGCTGCCTGACTGCTCTGCTCCACGAGGGTTGCCTCCTCCTCCTCCTCCTCCTCCTCCTCCTCCTCCTCCTCCTCCTCCTCCTCCTCCTCCTCCTCCTCCTCCTCCTCCCCCCCCCTCTCTCCTCCTCCTCCCTCTCGTCGTCCTCCTCCTCCTCTTCCTCGTTCCCGCTCTGCCCTCCTGCGTCCTAACTCGGGGCTTCGAACGGCGCCTTCGGAGGCTCTCATGCGGAGTCCAAAGCCATCGCGTTCCTCCTCCTTCTCCTCTCGCTTCCTCCCTCCTCGTCCTCCGTCCTTCTGTTGCTTTCTCCTCTTGCTTCCTCCCTCCTCTTGCTCCTCCTTCCTCTTGCTTCCTCCCTCCCTCCTCTTGCTTCCTCCCTCCTTCTCCTCCTCTTGCTTCCTCCTCGCGTTCTCCATCGCGTCCTCCCTCCTCTTGCTTCCTCCCTCCTTCTCTTCTGTGGCACCCCGAGGCGTGTCGGTATGGCTGGCCAGGCGTGTCGCTTGAGACCACCCCATCCTCTATGATCACAGAAGAAAGTTGCAGCAGTTTTACGGATGCAGGGGAAAGTCGTTTTCAGAATTGGGCGGTTGGTGTTCGTATTTCGCCTCAGCGCCGCGCTTGGCCTCTTTTTTGAAAACCGCATTTTCAATATGGATGATCGCGTTGTTTCGACATGGAGCCATCGCCCAAGATTTCGTTAGGTGTAGAACCAAAGCTCCAACGCACGTAGCGCTGAACGGATACATGCCGGCCCTTGAAAATTATCTTGGCGAAGGACCCAACCATATGCAGTTGTGGGT